AGAAGGGTACGGTGACAGGCTAAAGTGTTTTGGGCGGTTAGGCTCTAGGGTTCTTTATGTATGGGGCTTAGGGGAAGAGGTGTTTCATTACCACAAGAGTGTGATGACACGAATTCGCTGCCTTGCCAGTGCCCTCATAGAGCCCGCCTGGTGCCCGAAAATAGTGCCCGAAATAGTGTTCGATCCCCCTCTGCATAGTGCCCAAATTCTTGTTTTTAGGAGTACAGGACATGGAGGGGGTTGGGGGAGCTATGAGCCATCAAAGCAAACTTGATTTGTTTGGGGGATCTTTCTGCTTCAAATTATTTTCGAGCGTCTCTCTAGACTCTGGACCTGAGCGTTGGAGATTTCACGATTTTGGGCACTACTGAGGAGGCTCGTTTGGAGCTGTTCTCCTTTTTTCATATGTAGCAAATCTTGCTCGAATGCATGTTGGGGTGGCTTTGAGAATGTCAATGTTTTCGATGATTTACAGTCCACATGTTTTGTGATGTTTTGCGCTTGATTTATTTCTTGAAGCTCCCATGTAGAACACGTTCAGTGATTGCATACTCTGCAGGCGCTTTGTTGTATCAAAAGATTTTCATGGTAGCGGAGCAGTGGTTGTTAGAGAACCAACTTGCCATGAGAGACACGGAAGTCATTTTTTACTCTAATGTGTCCCTTTGATTTAATCAAAGTCTTGCACGTTTTTTATTTCTAACAGCTCGGTCCGCTTTGAGCTTGTAGGCCTTTTTCTTTTTCGTTCCATTGTAGGCAGTTGATTGCCTCTTGGCCAGTAAATCTCGTCAAAACTTTAGTTGCATCCACTCACTCAAAGCACACAACGCACAACCGTACAAGCTTTCAATTGCAAATTCCATCCCATGTTAGAAGTTCCGATTCCGAAAAGAGCACGCGATAAATGAGAAGATTTTCTTCTTGCGTGTGAGGCTGGTCCTAGTTATATCTTGCGCATGACGAACCAAATGTCGTAGTGGCGTGGCGGAGCTCTTAAAGACGTTCCCAACATCAGATTGAAGCGTGGCAGCCCTCCTAGGCCCACCTGCCGCCTCGTATTCATTGACACACTTCTGACGGTCTCTGGAAAGAGCGCAGTAGCAATGTGAGCACTCGCCCTGGGTTGGACTGCAAGCCAGCATTATGGCTGGCGCCTCCTCTGAGCCTGCTCTAAGTACTTTATCTAAGTTCGGGAGAGGTGTACTACCTCTGCGTCTCTGTCGAGCGACTCACTCATTATTCCGCGATCATTTTGTGTAAAGTACTTCACACCGAAGTCTTTGCCGTTCAACTCAGCGCAGAGAGAGCGCTGACGCCGACTGGGACGGCTCGCGGCTGTAGAAGCAGCTCTTCGAACCGCCAGAGAGCAAGAAGTTTACCGGCTTGCCAAGATGGACTCCAAATTGGTCAGAGAAGAAAGACAAGGAAAAGATTTTGCGCAGATTTTCTGGACTTCCGGGTCCATTGCGGGATTTGGTTAGACTGTGGTGATACGTTCTGCGGAGAATACTGTATTCTGATTTTAATAGTTAGAATACATCATTTTTTCTAGATTTTTTGTTTCTTTTTTCCGTTTTCGATTATTCATGCAATTGTTGGCCTGTAAAGTTTTATGTCTCTCTCTCTCTTGCTGAATGCTTTTAATCTGCACTTTTGCGTGCCCGCAGCATGTCTTGCAAAGGACCCTTCTTTCTGAAGCCCTGCGAAGCGTCTTGCAGCATTTCAGTTGCCAAGCTGAAAATGGATCGTGACGCGCCGCAGATCCATTTCAAAAATGCGCACCCCGCCAGAAACGCGGTTTTCTAGAAGCCAGGGAAAACGGTCGGAGATGCAATCTGTGTAACGCTTGCATGCAGCGTACAAATTTGTATTGATTTAATTAAGGGTGCAAGAGTTTGGTAGCTTCTTTCAAATTCACTGGAATGATACGAGAACATTTGAACAGAAAGGTTCGATTCATTATCTCTTGAATCATGATGTTGCATGAAAAGCATACGATCTATCATGGGCTGTCATGATGCAGTCATATTGAAAGAAAAGCATTTCTTGACCATTCAAGAATTGCAATCATGTTTGTCATTTTTACAAATGAAAAGCATTCAAGTCATGTACCGTGATGATGCAGTGAAGCTGCATGAAAGTTCCGTATCTACGATGCGCTGCAATGCTGTGATGTCACAAAAAAAGCAGCCGACTCATGTGGATGCCAAGAGTTCAATCCATGTGCGGTGATCATGCAATGATGTCGGAAGAAAAGCACGGTTTATCATTTTTCCGCTGCAATGAAGATTCATGACGTTTGCTGTGATGTTGTGACGCTGCGCAAAAGTTTTCATGAATCATTTTCATGCAATGATGCCAGAATGTAGAACAAAAAGGATCCATTTCGTTCGTGTGCTGATGTTGTGATGTTGGACGAAAACATTCGGTTCATCATCTTGTGCGATGCCATGATGCCGAGCAAAACGGATTTGACTCATCATTTTCATGTGCTGTGATGATGCCATGGCGTTGGACTCATGACTTTTATGTGTCGCAATGCGATCCTATCGGAATTCGATTTGGTCATATGGCGATGATGCAGGACGAAAAACATTCGGTTGATCATCTTAATGCGCTGTAATCATGTCATGTTGTTGAACAATGTTATTTTCATGTGCGGTGATGATGTTGTCATGGACGAAAAGCACTCGGTTTGTCATGCGCATGCGCTGCAATGATGCAACGATATTGGATGAAAAGCGTTCGATTTATCATTTTCATGTGCAGTGATGATGCGTGATGTTGGACAGAAAACATTCGGTTATTATTTTGTGCTGCAATGATGCAATGATTTGGGGCCAAAGCATCTGATTCATGATTGTCATCCGCCGTGGTAAAAATGCGATTTATTGCTGCAGTTGTTTGGCAACAGCGCGCAGTTTATGGTGGGCTGTAAGAAGCATCAGCAAAGTTGCGCAAGGAACCTCTAGGAATGAAAGGTTACTGGTCTGCAGTTCAGTAATGCGCTTGAAAGCTTGCAGCAGGTACACCGCTGGGGCCTACATGTGTCCTTTCGTGCGGCTCACCGTATTGAATGACAGCCTCTTGTCGCAAGGTTATGCCCAGTTCACACGAACTCTTCCCCTGTGCTTTCATTCCATGGCGTTCAACATATTCAGTTGAGTTCTCTGAAAACCTGCTCCGCCCCCTTACCCCTGCTTTTTGCCGGCGGTGCGCGGTTGAAGTCCCGCAGCTGCCCCACAGGTGCGGGCGCGGGCCGCCTCGTAAGAGCCGCCTTAGGCTGGACGCTGCCTCTAGGCACCGGCAGCGCGTGTTTCAGCAGTGTTTGGCTGCCGTCTGTTGCTCTTACGGTCATGGAGTCAAAGTCCGCCAGGTCCCTGGCCGGGCCGTAGCTGGGCTGGAAGCTCCGGTTAGCGTTTGTGGGTGCGCGAAAGGCGCCGGCCTGCTGCAGCCGCGCCTGACGCCCCTCCGTAAGAGCCTTGTTGTGCTGGAACTTCTCAGCGTTGTCTTGGAGCACTCTGAACTGGATGGCGGGCTGGGTCTCTACGTGCGCGGCGTGCACGGCCTCGTGCGGGCGCGCGTTGTAGGCTTCCGTGGCGTCGGCGACGTGATCCTCCCACTTGCCTCGGTCCACCACGGCGGTGGCGTTCCTGTCCTCAGGGCGTTTCTGCCGGTGCACCACGCCCTGAGGCAGGTTCGCCTCCAGGGTGCGGAACTCGTTTCCCTCGTTGGTGAAGGCGCCCCTTGCCCGGTTCACCGTGACGGCTGGCTGGGCGGGGAACTCGCGCTTTGCGATCTGGTACAGCTTCCGGGCGACTCACAGCACGGCCGTCAGCTTGCCGTAGTCCAAGGTTAGAAGCTCCTCGCCGCCCCACATCGTCTTTGCGGGGACGCCGCCGTTCTGCAGGTCCGCGTCCCCGATGTTCTGCTTCACCTTCTCGTCCAAGAGGTCATTCTGACCGTAGGCGGTGGTGACGATGCCGTTCGTCTCCACGATCAGCGGCGCCTGGCCCGTCAGCCG